AATTGATCCGATTATCCTGATCAGGATCTTCAGGGTTAACGGCTTTTGCCATATCTAAAGTTGTGTATTACCATGTACTAAGGCGTGTACTGAACTATATGTGACTGAAACTTGTTACTTTTTTGGTATTTAATTTCAAAATAATCATCATTAATAAGAAAAGCAAGACAAGCCTAGCTTAGTAACTTTCTGGTGGTTTTGAGTGTTTACACGGCCTACCTAAATGTCCGGCTGGCGGTAGTGTCACGCTTCGGGTCTGCCGTCTGTATGGTCAGGACGACTCAAAAATATGGTCCTTTCTTCATAAGGCCGTTTTTTACGTGTCACCGTCACCCCACCGCGGGGGCTGAAGTGTCGGAATCGGCCCGACTAAAATCACATGGTGTGCCACTCTGCGCCTATAATAGGAGGGACCCGAGAACTACTGTTATTAAGACATCCGGACCCCCCTAGCGCCTGCCCGCAATTCTTCAAAAGTCCTACCCAGACTCTATCCTGAACTCGGTTTTGTTCTTTGTTTCGGCGTTTCTTCAAAGAGTGAGTCTTACTGTACTGTATTCACAGAAATAAATCTCATTTATTTATCAGTTATAACTAGTACATAGGTCACCTGATAGGTACGCCCGTAGAACTACGGGGAGGCTAATCAGTAACTTACTGATAATTTTGTTTTTATAAAAATAACAATAATATTATAATAATAATATTTATTAAGATAAAGAGTACAATGTTTTATAATAAATTGTTCTCTAATCTATAGAAATAAATAAAATTGAAGTGTCTGTTTGTAATGTCAAAATAATAGGTTTTTTTCATTCTCACACGGTTATTTGCTTGTGCAAAAGGCAGGGTTTAGGCAAAGGTATCTTTACCTATACCTAAAAACCAGTTTAAATATTTTTTGTCTGTCTGTCTATTTGTTCCGGGTAATCTTCAAAACTACTGGACCGATTTTGATAATATTTTTCTACCTGTAGCTGTTTATAGCAGGAGTACACGCTACTGCACGGATGGCGTAGTGGTTTAAGCGGTCGGCACGAGAAAACCCCTATAAAATTTTGCCCAGACCTGGAATCGAACCTGAGGCCTCATGGACTGTAGGAAGCGCTTTCCAAATTCGACGCGAACGAAGGGTTTTTCGATGAATGTTGTTTGTCCGAACTAGATTAAACCTTTCTCGGGCGAAGAAATGCTTACAAACTATTTTATCAACATAAAATCTACATAACTACAATTTAATAAAAACATTTTAATATCCTACATAAGCAACTTGCAGTGCCAGTGATAAGTGGGTCGACAATAACGCAGTTCGGCAAATTTTTATTTACATACTTTAAGTAACTGCTCAGTTCGCTCATACGACAAAATTCGTAAATAATTATGATATTTATTTTACAGCTAACATAATTTATTTTAGAAAAGGCAATAATTGAAATTTGAAAAAATGAACTTTGAGCCTTATTGTGAGGCACAGACTATACCTTTTAGTTAGAAATACCGGGGTGGTAGGTGAGCAATGTGTTTTAGTACTATATATGAAAATTTGGCGGAGAGTCATCACCATGCAATTAATATAAAGGCGATGTGTATGAAATTTATATGGAGTCCCGGGAAAGGATATAGGACAGTTTTTATCAAAGAAATCATCCTTTGAGGGGTTGAAAAGGGTAGTGGATTTTTTTAAGGGGAATCAATAATCGCTGAATCGATTTATATAGATAAAATTTGGTATGGAGATTCTTTGATTCTTGTGGGAAGACATGTTACGTTTACCGCGTTAACCGACATTTTCGCTTGCGGAGCCGCGGGCAAGAGCTAGTGCCTGCGATTTCGTTTGCGTGAAATTTGAAAAGCGTTGCCTTAGTGGGTACAATTCCGTGACCGGGCAAAATTTAGAGTGGTTTTCTGATAGAAAAAAATAGCCTAAGTTACTCCTTAAATAGACAGCTACCTGGTAGTAAAATATTATCAAAATCGGTCAAGCCGATTTGAACCCGGAAAATACAGACAGACAAAAAATGTTTCAATTGGTTTTTAGGCATAGGTATCGTGTAAATAACCGAGTGAGCATGAAAAAAACCTATTATTTTGACATTACAGATAGACACTTCAATTGTATTTATTTGTATAGATATAGAATAGATAGTAGTGGGAAATAGGAATGGTCGTTAGGAGGCTACTTTTAAAATCGCTCTTTGAGCTCTTTCTAGAGGCAGTATAATAGTTTTTAGTGTTTTTCGTGTGCCCCATGAGGTTATACATACAATGTAGGTAATTTTTATAAAAGTTTTTATCTTAACTAACTTTAGTATTGTTGGTGGATAGGTCATAGTTTTTTTTCGAAGTTCCGCTACGTTTTTCATCACCGAACTTTTTAAATAATTTATTTTAAATGTAAATTTTTCACAGAAAGGTCTGAAACATTGCAATAGCGGGTAATATAACGGACCTGTATTGTTTAGGATAGAAACTGTTTAGTTTTACTAAAGAAAATATATTTGTCTCATGTTTAATTTACGACCAAATAATATGTTTAATGACAATTTAATACATATTTGGTGTTTGAATAAAATTTGAAGTGCAGTCGTGACTTAAACAGCTAGAACCATTAAATTTTTAACTATCTTTGTTTTTTTCAATCCCAAAAATTTTGTTTTGCTTTCAGATTGTACATTATATCTATGCAGCATGCATCGGAGTACGCCACATAAACGTAATCTTCATAATTAATCAATTCTGTAACAGATTACCTAAAAGATTAAGACATAGTAACGAGAATAATTTACTCAGCAACGAGCGAAATAATCCGTAGACCATAAAGCTAACACAAATTACATTAAACGTTCTCTTACAGAACTATTAAAGCTAGGAAAAAATAATAATACAAAAATAACATCACACACTCCAAAGAGAAGGAAAACTTAACACAAACCCTTTACCAACCCGTCTGGCCAGTGTAGTATAGTAGGCCAAAACATCCTTTCTAAGGAGAGGCTTATGTCCAGCTGTGGACTAGTAAAGGCTGTTAATGTGATGATGTGAACTTCACACATCTAACAAAAGGCTGTCTAATCTCAAACCAGACTGCTGATAAACATACTTATGCCAAATCATGAAATTCCCCAACTCATAGTGTACGCACATATTTTGAACCGACGTCAAAAAGCGAGAAAGTGATTTTATTGTAAACCGACCTTAAAATTGATGTGTTTATTATATACAAGGATGAGGAATCTTATTTTAACCTTATGTGATGTATTCACGTCATTGAAGTCAGTGGTAATTTTTTTAATTTACTTATTTTAAATACTGTTATACTACTCTCATTTATTATATTAATCTCAAAGACTATAATATTACAATTATATTCTAGCACATTCACACAACGCCATCTAGACCCAAACTAAGCAGAGCTTGTACTATGGGTACCAGACAACTGATATAAATATACGTACATATATACTTTTTTTTGTAAATACATACTTATTATAGAAACACCCAGACCAAATCAAACATCAAATGTTTATTTATTTAACTTTATGCACTTTTGTACATCGTCGGACTTAATGCCTAGGGCATTATATATTCCAGTCTATCTTTGGGTGTTGTAGAAATCTTGTAAGGTAGGTGCACAGAGGTTACGTCTTAATATATTACGTAATTGATGCAATATATGTAACGGAACGCTACATACACAAACTTATACATACTCATATACAACACAACACATCATAAATACACACATACAATCATACATATACATATATATTTAATTATATTTATATAGATACATAGACATAAATTATATTCGCACACTGTGAATGAAAGTTCTGCCTTTTCGTTAAGAAGGAGATTATGTACCTTCTTTTTTGAAAATAAAGCGGTTTGTGGACATCCTGACTTCGAGCTGGAGCGCATTCCAGAGTAGTACTGCTTGAACAAAGAACGAACAGCTCACAAAGTCGGAGTTGTGTTGCAAATGTTCATGCACACAAATGATTTGACTTGAACGGGAATCGATCCCAGGACCTTTGGAATAGAAGACCGTTACACAAACCACTATCAATTTGTTCTGTGTGCATTAACCAGCAAGTATAATACAGAACGTACACGCCTTAAAAATCTCGTTCGTACACTTATTCGTACCTTTTTCTTTTGCAAAACCGGATTGAGAGCCGCGGAAGTGGACCCGCCAAGGCGAAGTATCTGAATAAATGTATTTAATATATTTATTATTTTCTTGATAAAGAGATAGATGCTTATTACTTTGCTATAAAAAATCTTAGGCTTATGGTTCTTTTTTTTTCTAAAACCAGCCCTAATAAACGTCACCTTCTAATTCGTAAAAGTGTACATAATAAAACAGGAGTATTTAAAAACTTAGGCGGAAGAATGCAATACATTAAAAATATTATAGTTATTGTAAATCATATTTACTGTCCGTGAGATGACGAATGAGAATACGGGGTGTCACAATCCCTACTCACCCTGTGGGTGTCGTAGGAGCAAACTACGCAGGACAACAGCACTGCAAAGAGAAGAGAACTGACACAAACCCTGTACTAGTCTTTCGGGCCAGCGTGGTATAGTAGGCCAAAACCTCCTTTCTAAGCTGAGGCCCATGTCCAGCAGTAGACTATTAAAGGCTGTTGATGTGATGATTTTGTATATTCTTCTGTTTCTTCCCACCCAAGTACGTCCACTGCTGGACATAGGCCTCCCCCAAGTTACTCCAAAACAACATGTGCTGCCTGCATCCAATAGTTTCCCGCAACCTTCACCAGGTTGTCTCTCCGTCCGCCACTCGAACTTTTAAATACAATAAAATTATTAATGTTTCTTCGTGAAATATCCTTATCAATGTACTTAAATTTAAATGTCCCTTAAATGTTATTTATGTGTGAGACTTAGCGCTATTTTTACAAGTATTGCTTTTGTTGTTGAACAATATTCCTTTCGTAAGGCAATCAGTGAGCTCCAAGAAATCATACATTGCAGTCATGACTGACCGCATCAGGTTTAAGGTCAACGGAGTCCCACATTCAGGTCAGTTTTTGATGTGACATATTTAAAAATGTATCTTAATTACCTTAGTTTTATGTGATAATTTCGTGTGTGATATATTACAGTAGTTATGATATATTGAGTGCAATTATGTATTACATGACTATTAGCTGTCTGTGAGTTTTTATTCGTGGATTTTTTACTAGTGTAAAATATTCCTGTAATGTATTCACTTCGGCAAATTGACTGTTTGGATCAGTTATAATTTTTTTTGCTCCGTTTTCATCTGTTGAACTATATTTAAAAAGGATTTTTTTTTTATATATATAATGGATACAATATTGGTCAGCTGTTGATTTACCGTATTGGCGCAAAATTGAACCTCTTTAAAAATATGATATTTAAAAATAGAATTCCCCTAGTAACGGACATATACGTATCTCATGAAGGCAAAAAACTTCAAGAAGTAGAAACAACCCAAATTTCTAGGTATAAATATAGATAGCAACCTAAATTGGAAGGTAAACGTGGAATGCCACTCTGCAAAATTAAATACCCAGTCGTATGCGTTATACATGCTCACAAAAAAAATTGTACCATAGCGCTGTATTGACTGTATATCACGGATACGTGGATTCGATCTTGAGGTATGGGATCAAATTTTTGGATAACTGTACTGAAATAATGGACCTTGAGGGGACGGATTAAGAATACAGAGAGTCATCACCCCTATTTATCCCGTGGGAGTCGTAACAGCCGACTAAGGGAGTAAACTACGCAGGACAACAGCACTGCAAAGATAAGAAAAACTTGAAACAAACCCTATACCAACCCGACTGGATAGCGTGGTATAGTAGGCCAAAACCTCCTTTCTAAGTAGAGGCCTATGTCCAGCAGTGGACTAGTGGAGGCTGTTGATGATGATGATGATGTACTGAAATAGAGCAAGTATATATAGCTCAGAAGAGGTGTGTCAGGGCAATGAGCAACCTCGAACAAATTGACATAGGTTAACCGTATTTCAAGAGACTCAATACACTAACCATACCCTATCTGTATGTCTTTGAATTGCTTTTATTTGTCAGAAGTAATCTAAACATGTTTAATAAGTATAAAAGTAAGCGTCACAATTTCTAATTCTGTTGTTCTCAGCATAAAAGTGTTTTGATGAATCGGAGTGCATTTTGCATGGCGCCACGACTCTACAACCATCTACCTAAACTCTTAGTAGGAACTACGTGTTTCATTAATTTAAACAAATATGTTTAAGCAATTTCTGTTTGCAAAAGGCGTACTATACAGTGTAAGAATTTTTAAATGATAAGGACTGTGCAAGATAAGTTTTATCTGCGTCTGTTTGTTTTAATCTTAAGTCATTATGACATTGTATTTTTATTTGTTTTCAACTGTCATAAAATGCACCTCTTTTCATTTAGTTTATAGTTATAAATATATGAAACTCGTATATTGACATTCTTAAATCTCTGAATATGAACAATGTTGTAATTAGATTCCTAGAGCATTTAATTATAAAATGTTAAGTATTGCATGCCGAGAGGCCGATAATGGAAAAGCTTTGCCACATTGTTATATCACAATAATCATGGTACCTACCCCTTTTGCGCAATAATTTGAATTTGAATTTGACATTATGTCATTGTATAGGTTTTATACAATGACAGGTAAATCTCTATACTGAACTAACTAAAGGGGACAGTTAACATGTAGCCATTTTTACACAACTTTTCAAGTCAACACATATACATATAATTCCTTTCTAAGGAGAGGCCTATGTCCAGCAGTGGACTATCAAAGGCTGTTGATGTGATGTGATGATATATAATTTTAGCTTTTTCTGCACTTTTAATATTAAAATTCTTCTATCGCGTATTCATATTTAGATAATGTATGTGAAACATTTGACCGGTAAAAGAGAGAGTGGACACGACTGAATTTTGTCACTGTGACTATGTGTTAACTCTCGTCGAGTCGATTACGTAACATATGTATGAAGAAAGCAAATATGTTACGTTTTCACACATATCGATAGACTGAACGAGAACGGCATTACCTAAAACTTTTCAACTGAAGTATTACGGATTTCAATTCACCTACATTTTCACCCTTTATCATCAACAGTCTTTAACAGTTATGACTGCTTCCATGGTTCAGTGGTAGCGTATGCGACTGCTGTGCTGATGTGTCGGGTTCGATTTCTGGGTCAAACCAAATGTTTGTATAAACTGCAGATATTTGTTTCGTAGTTTGAGTGTTTTCTATGTGTAATATGTGTGTATTTACAAAAACAAAGGATATAAGTATTCTATCAGTCAATCTAACTTTCATAGTACAAGCTTTGCTTAGTTTGAAACTAGATGGCCTTGTGTCAGCTATCCGAAATATTTATTTATTATTATTATTTACAGTCCTACTGCTGAATGTAGGCCTCTCCTTAGAATTGAGGTTTAGCCTACTATACCACGCTAGCCCTCTGAAAAAAAATTAAACAAAACCTGTACAAACCCGTCTGGGTTAGTATAGGTTTTGTTTAAATTTTTTCTTCTCGTTGCAGTGCTGTTAATTTGTCCTGCGTAGTTTGCTCCCTTAGCCCTCTCTTACGACACCTACAGAACGAATAGGGTTCGTAACACTCCGTACCCTTAATCCACCAATACACAGACAACAAAAAATTAGTTTTAAAAAACTAAAAAATATAAAATAAATTTGAAAAAAAGCGTTGGGTGCCTGTTGTCAGTAGTAAAAAGCACTCCACGCTATTTTTCAAATTTATTTTCTATTTTTTAGTTGGGTTTTCTATATAAAGCGTGTTTTTTTAGTTTTTTAAAACTATTTTTTTTTTTTAAATTAGTGTATTGTCATCGGTCCTCGATATATCTACAAAGTTTGAACGAATTCTGACCGTTTAAAGTCAGTCAAAATCACGTCCAAAGGAGTCGGTTACAAACATACAAACAAACTTACAAGTGAAGCTAATATAGAGCGTGTAATAAATTATTTTTTTAAATTAGTGTATTGTCATCGGTCCTCGATATATCTACAAAGTTTGAACGAATTCTGACCGTTTAAAGTCAGTCAAAATCACGCCCAAAGGAGTCGGTTACAAACAAACATACAAGTGAAGCTAATATAGAGCGTTTAATAAAAAATAATACAACTGAACTTCCTTTTTTTAAAGTAGGTCAAAAGCAGTTACGGTGACTCTTACATTTTTACAGTTTGAGGACCGGTTTATCAGCTTGTAAAAACTGGCAGTAAAGGCAGTCTCTGGCTGCTGCATCATGACATGGGCTTGCCGCTCAGTGTGATTGTCATTTTCAAACCCATGTTCTAGTTAATTAGCAAATTGTTCTCCGAAATATTAAAGTCGCTTTCACTTCTTATATACAACATGTATATTATCACGACCCTAATCTTAAGTTTGGATTATACAATGAGTTACAGAATTGCGTAGTCTGTAGTATGAGGTTTGCGCCTTTGGTTTAGCAGTCAGTTCCCATACAGTTAGTTTTGTACACCAATGGTAACAATAATACACCAATAGACACAGAGACTTAACGTTACATTAAAAGGACAATGGGCGATCTTATCGCTACTAACGATCTCTACCAGACAACCTTGGGATAGAGATTTTTATAGTAAGTGGTATTGTAGTAAGTATTGTATTATGAACGAGCTGGTATTTTGCGTGGAATTTGAAAAGCACTGCCTTAAGGGTGTAGTACGGTACGCGACTGCAGACTATGAGGCCTTGCGTTCGATTGCCGGACCGGGCAAAATTTTATAGAGTTTATCTGAGAGGAAAAATGGTCTAAGTTACTTGCTATATAGACAGCTACCTGGAAGTAAAGTATTATGAAAATCAGTATAGCCGTTTTGAAGATTACCCGCAACAAACAGACAGACAGAGAGATAAAAATATTTAAACTGGTTTTTAAGCATAGGTATCGTGTGAATAACCCTGTGAGTATGACAAAAATATAATATTTTGACGTTACAAACAGACACTTCAATTTTAACTATTTGTATAGATTTGAACTATATGTCTATATACACGTTTATAGACGACTAAGTATATAGACGTTCGAAGAAAAAGTACCTACCACCCCTAGGGGCGAAAAATATTATTTATATATGTATTTATCATTATGTAATAACATTAATAAAAACTTCTTCTCTCATAAGGTACAGTAGGTTACAGAGTATCGTAATTATATCGAAATCAAAATAATATAAAGTTCCTTAGTGATAGCTGGAGTCTATACTAAACTCGAAACCTTTATGACAGATATTCAGGCCTACCCTACGATGTAGGCATAATAACGATATAAATAAACCTAAATTATTTTTTAAAAGTCAAGCTCTGTTACTTCGTATTAAGATTCTGATATCGAAAGATCGCACACAGAGAAAGTTAACATTTAAATTACAAATATTCCACCGGCGCAGGGCTCAAACCATGAAAGTATTTTCAAACTCCACTGACCCACATAAACATAACCACAACCCGCACAGTCTCACGGTTTTATCCATTCGTTTGTGGAATGCACTGCGGAAATATGACAAGCTAAATCCCTTAATGTCTTTAGAAATACATTTTACTACTACTACTATTTGTTAAATAATTATTATTATTTTATACTGCGTCAATAATTATTTGACTGCACGGATGGCGTAGTGGTTTAAGCGGTCGCAACGCCGAGTGTTGTGGGTTCAAACCCCACATGGGACGACACTTTGTGTGATCAACAAATTGTTGTTCTGATTCTGGGTGTTCTTTGTGTCCGTTTCATGTATGTTTGTAAAGTCCCCCGCGACACAGGATATTTTCCTAATGCGGGAGTTGTCTTTAAAAAAAAAAAATCTTATCAAAATATTCTAAACCATAGTATTTCATATATAAAATCATTAATCTGCAATATTTCCGGACCGAAATGACCTCTAAACCTTTAAGAAGACGGTACTCCTTCCTCAAAGGCCGGCAACGTGTTTGTGACAACTGAGTTACAAGCGTTCATTGGCGG